AATAGCAACATCATGTGGAATGTACAGTTCTGCACATTTATCCAGCTTTCTGTCAATGTGTACCCACACAATAGGAGTGACTGGTACATAATCACCAAACTTAAACTTATCACTGAAGAGACATGCTCCAAACCATACAGTAGCTGACTCTTGTACTGCTCCCTCTGGAATAATGAGAGTCACTCCATACTGACTACAGTGATACACTAAACCACTAATGTCTAATGATAGCTTCTGTAGCTCACCAAATGCACCTAAACAAATAGAAATAAAATTCGCATAATCATTTTATAGAATAGCTATACCTTTTATTTTTAGAAATAGCTTTTCATTGGCTGTGTTACATGTTTGATCATTGGTTCTGTTTGTCAATGAGTCTTTCCCTGCATCTTTTAATATAAAGTTTGTAGATCATAGTAATGTCTACTTACAGCACATTGATTCCATATCAAATTGAGACTGTGATGATCTGTCACTTTCACATGATAGCAATAAAGCTTGTAATATTAAGTTTTTAAAATTATAATTCTAATTGAATTTCGTCATTTACCTGTCTCTACTTTTGGCAGAAGTGTCTCGTTTATATCATCATTACTACTTATAGATTGTGTGGACAGAGCAAACCTATTATCTGTATAATAATAATAATAAAGATATTATAATATTATAGTTAAATTAAATGTATATACCTAAATGCAATTGATTATCAGTAGAGGTAAAACACAAATTCCTACATGTAGATTTTGATACAAAATCTTCATGTACAAAAGATTTTTCACCATCATCATCTGATTCAGAGTTTGGCTTCTGTCTAAGATTGTTTAGATTTGGTAAATTGGTCTCATTTTGATAATTTATGCTACAAATTTCTCTTCTGCCTTGCTGCTTTTTATGAAGGATACTCTTAGTCTTAATACTACTAAGAGTAGATATACGTGTAGATCTACGTCTAGTCTTCTTACAATAAAGACGATAAGTGAAACAGCCTGCTATGATTGTCAGAATGATGTACGTGGTTTCACTCAAAACAAAAGCAATGAAAATATCTGGAGTAAACTTTGAAATTGTAAAGAAATAATTTATAGATGTTCTATTGGATGGTTTGATAAGAAAATAAGTAATTGCCTCATGACTGCATATAAAGGTATTGCATACATCAATTCGACAAGAAGTTATATTATTACAAGTGGTTTGCTGCTGAAGTCCAGTAGTATTATAATATATCCGTAAAACAGAAGCATTGGCTTGTACAGTAACACCACTCTGTAATTGTATACCAACATAGTACTGCCCAGGACTTGTGATGTTAAAAGAAAAAGATGCTGTTGCAGGTTCCATTGTGTTTGCTGACACAAAACAATGTGAGTCGTTGTATACATTGCTGCTATTTGACATCAGAAAACTGTTGTATTGTGTTGCACTTGCATAAAGGTAGAGACAAGCTGAATATGTAGTGTCTATTGAAGTTATTATCATTAAGTTGTACATGATTGAAGAGCCAGAGAGCAAATAAATAGGCTCATCACTTCCAAGATAGTTAAGAGCTCCTCTATACTCTGATTCAGCCTCTGACAAACTTAAGGGAATTTGCTCTAAAGGAAGATAATCTGTGATAGTCGGTATATTCACTGATGCTAAGGGGATGACAATGTACATGAAAGGTCTTTGTTCTGCATTCAAAGAAATGATGTTACAGATGATATTGGGTAGTCTGACGAGTCAACTTCTAGATCTATAAGAGCAGAGCTGTTGCCTAATATATCACCAACTTCAAGAGGATACTTATTAGAATCTTCATTAATAGCAGCAATGGTGGCAAAAAAAACAAAAAGCACAGCAGCACAAATGGAAGAGATAAGGTATAAAACACAAAAGACTTTACAGAACACAGACCATGATCTCACAGTGTTAGACATATCTGGAAGATGAAATTTATATAACACTTCAAGTAGAGTCCTTACCTTTAGGCAGTAGTTTCCTTTTTTAACGACCTGGGGGCGTAGCCCCCAGGTCGTTCCTATAATTGATTTCAACCACGTGCGATGTTTGTATATATATATATATATATTTGTATGTCCACACTTACATTTCTTCTATACATGTTGTATTGGAGAAATAACAAGCCTTAGCAACCACCCGCCCACACTCCTTTATGTAGTGGGTGTGGTCACGGCAAACAAAATGGCGGCTTACACATGGGACAAAGTTAAGAGCTTTCTAACAGCAAGAGAACATAGAGATACTGTCTAAAGACTTTTTTAGAAGCATTAGAAGGTAGAAAGAACCTCTATAAGTCTTAATAATGACCAAGTTGTACTTGCAGGGTGGTGAAATCAATTATAGGAATATTTTTTACACTGTTACGCTTGTTCCATTTCTGCTTGACTAGTCTATAGTATTACTTTTATTTTCTTAGCAAAGTAATCCGTTGCTAGGTTAAAGCTAGATACCCTAAATTGTAGTCTAATTAATCATAAATTAATAATAATAATAATAATAATAATAATGATGATGATGATAATAATAATAACTACATATAATTATTATATTATCTAATTTTCCTTCTTTATTTCTTTTAACTTATTTTTAACTTGTTTTGCCCTGTTTGTTGTATACTGTAAAGCTCTTTAGTGGTAGTAGTAGTAATAATAATAATAATAATAATAATAATAATAATAATAATAACTAGGTGAATGTAAATATTGAGGGGGCGAGCATGAGCTATCAAATTGACTTGATTAATTAATTGATTAATTCAATGATAAAATTAAAATGATACTGCTCTTACTCTAATGAGAGAAAAGAACATTTTTTTCTCTTTTTTGTGAGACTATTGTATACTCGTTTATTTTCACGGTGGTAAATTTTTGCAAATCTTGCATTTCTAAAATTTTGCGGAATTAATTTTCGTGAATTGCTTGCAGACTGCACCACATGGCAATGGAGAGCAGAATTTTGCAGTGAAAAATCTTTGTGAATGATCACAAACTGCAAAATTTGCGAAAATATTTTACCACAAAAATAAACCGGTATACGGTATTACCTTGTAAAGGATAACCGACAGAAGTTAATACTGAGTGGTCTTTAGTTTTTAAAAAGATATTTTTACTCAAGAAGGAACAACAACTCTCAACTATAGCAATCACACTATATATATATATATATATATATATATATATATATATATCATACATCCCATACTTAGTACTCATCTCCCCTTCTCTCATTGGTCAGTGTTTCATTAGTCTCTTTAGCATTAACACCTCCTGCTGAGTAATTCTGCCTCTATAAGATATGTCTGGCACATTAGTAATTGTACTATGGTGATCCATTACATACCTGCATGCATATTCAGATCCAATCCTCATGGTTGGGGTCTGAACAGAACAAATATCACCTGTCAGTCACTGCTAGTGCTGGGCAATATTGAAAATTTTGAAACAATACAATATGATATGATAATCAACCAACAATTAAGATATCGATATCTATTATCAATAAGTTATTAAGCCACACTCATTAACTTTCATATTACTAAAACGGCTAAAGAAAGCTATTTCTGAAAACAATTATTATCACTATAAAGAATTATAATCTTCTTTGGCTTGATATACTTCAGGTACTTCATTTACTTCCAAAAAAAGTATAGTTTAGTAATTTTTGAGATATTACTGCTTTAGTTAATTAACGCTATGTAACGATTATGTGGGCATGGTCATGTTATCTATGTTTTTCTTTAATTTTTAGTCTACACTTTTTTTTACATTTTTGTGTACATTTTTACATTTTTGTGTAAGGATCCTTTATGGCTTCACTTCCTGTTACATCACTGATATAATTAAATTTGTTGTCAATTTGGTTATGAATCTAATTGAAATCATTCAAAATTTGAAACGCGGCTCTTAATCTGGAAGCACACATCAACTTTGAGGGAAAATTTACGTGAATAAAAATTTACCTGAGTAAAATCCCTGTGAATGATTTGTACAAAAATCAAAGTTGCTTTGTGGCTAAAAAGTGAAAATTGTGGCTGTGCAAGTAGAGGTGTATCTCCTAAACAGAAGCACAAATAAAACTCATTCTTTGTAGAAGCAAAGAGGAGAGTTTGTTCTATCTGTGTATGAAAAAATAAGGAGAACAGACCTTTCAAATTAAGGATTTTAGGTCGCCTAATTATGACCAAGTTTACAGCACTTTTTTGATAGCTATATCGGCTCCATTAAGACTGAAACTAGCAGGACATGTAGACTACACCTTCCTAAGTCTGTGGAAAGACTTTAGAGGTTCTAGATATTCTGTGAACGATTTGTACAAAAATCAAAGTCAAACAATTTTTATTAAACAAAAATATTCACGGCAACATATTTTTGCTTAAACTTTGCACATGAAAACCAAATGTTTATCTTTATGACAAGCAACTTCTCCTCTCTTAATGGTACTAGTTACAGCACTATTCAATTATCTATGTAAGAGAAATACCGTATTTCCTTGAATAGACCCCATGGTTACAATTAATTTCAGAAAAGATACAATTTAGGTTATTATTAGAGGGCAGGTACTAATAATTTCATCTGAGGCTAATAATTTTATCAGTTAATCTGTGAGGCCTCTCTCTTCTGTTAGGAAAAGTCTTTTTTACTACCTCGAGATGTTTAGAGAGCAGAGCTAGCTACTGGAAGGCAATGGAAGCTTTTAAACTCACGAGAGAATGCCTAGCAATAGCGGTAGTACTTTGGTAGTAAATGAGGCTCTTTTCAAGTGTTCATATTCTTGGTTGTTTACAATGCTTTTGACAACTAGATCAACCAAGGGATCAACTATTTGCTCAAGCTAGCTAGCTAGCTCAACGCATAGGCCACACCCAAAATTTATTTAAACTATTAGTAATATTAGGGCCCAGTGTATTTACTGGGTTTCCTTCAGCTCACAATTCATTACCCTCTGATTTACACTTTTTTAATTCCATGCTGTAAAGTTTAATAATAACAATAATAATAATAATTGATGTTGTTATTAATTATGCAGGTACAATTAGAGGGCGGCTATTATTTCACTCAAAAGTTGACAGGTGCAGGGACTATTCGAGGGTGGGTGATAATCAAGGAAATACGGTAAGTAAAACATTGTGGCTATCAATTCTGACATGATTAAACCATACAATTTTCTACACTTCCGGTGTTTAGAGAAGTGTACTGTCTGGATGTATACTGTTTCTTCAATATTGACAAATATCGATACCGCATTATATCAATTAAATATCATAAATTTTGATATATCGCCCAGCACTATTCACCACCTATCACCTACTAACAAAACCAAATAACCAATCATCAACCAATAAGAGATAATAAATAGTGCTGTCATTTTGAGGAAACTAAGAACCAAAGCTAGACTTCTAATCAAGCTTATCTCACAATTTTAATTCTATCTATGAGAGGACTTATCTAGAAGAGTCTTAGATCAAACTACCTCGCAAACTACAGTATTATCTAAATTCTTCAACAAAAAAATTGTAGCTCACCAAAAATAATCTTGTAGAGTTTGCTTAAGCTTCCAGGCCTTACAGAGCTGATGGAATGGCTTTAGAGATGCTTGAGATGGCTTCTCTCTCTTATCTAGCTCAAAATTTTGTCCTGTCAAAGCGAGAATAGTTACTAGTTAATAGTAGTTAATTAATATTAAATAGTTAATTATTATCATACTGATACAGGCCACTACCCAAAATCAATAATTCAAGTCTGATGTCGCAGATTGGCATCAATGTTGAATCATGTCTGTTGCTCTGGCTGAACCAAGACCGTACTCCAGCATGGTTGCATCATGGATGATTATCATGATTGTATCATAACTAGACTCATTGCTTTGCAGGCTGCCCAAAATCCATGATACAGGAATGTATCAGGCTGATCATGATTGATATCAGTCATGATTCAAATTAAAATTCTTGGCTGTGTAGGTTCAGTTGACAAAGTATCCGAGTTTACAAACATACAAACATGGCAGCATTGACTGAATTTTATGATTGTGATGTCCTCATACCTTGCCACATATGTAGAAGTAAGTTAGTAGCATATTTATACTTTATTGTTCTTTTTTGTCTCGTAGGAAAACTTAGAGGCTTAGCTCTATAGCTTAATACATTAATGTAAGTATTAATGTATTATTATTAACTGTACCCTGTAGTCAGTATCCCATGTTTTTTCCAAAAATGGCTCAACTTGAAAATCATTCCAATTTTTACTGCAATTTATGGAGATATGATTTATGGAGATAGACAGATATCAAGAGGTATAAGAGGATTATTAATACTTACTATAAGCATTCAATACACATACAAATATTATTATTTTATTCTAATACTGACAGGTTGCTGCTGTTAATTGGAACACTCATCACCAAGAACCTGTAATGCTGGATGATCTGGTATTTATTATAAGTTTCATTTCTATTGTATTATTATGTCTCATTCCTTGCAGGATCTACTGGATAGCTATTATAAAGCTTTCTTATACATGTCAAGGAAAATTGAGAGCTCAAAGTATCATGTAAGTGTCTTAATATTACTGTTACAATCAATTTTTGATCTTAATTGCTTAGTTAAGTTCTATTATTAATAATGATTATATTTCTGTAGTTGGAGCACTGTCTGTTACCTGGACAAATCATTGCATTTAATAATCGTCGTTTCCTACACTCCAGAAACTCATTTCAACTGAACGGTGGATTCAGAAATTTTCATGTACAGTATAATGCACACATAGAGCACATGTACAAATGTAGTGGTATATAAAAGCATTATCTGTGTACCGTAGCCAAATTTTATTCTGTGATTGTATACTTGTGTACCAATGACACATGTTTAAAATTTAAATAATATTTATTTTATCAGTAGACACAACTGAATATACTGTTCTCTTTTCATTATGTAGACTACCTATGTGAACATTGATTACCTCAGAAGTCAGTTCCTTGTACTTGGAAAGGCTTTAGGTTTTAACGAGAGCCCAAAGAACATTTTCATGTCTACTCTGTGAAATTTTGTACTTTTTATAATAATCAAATTAATTATTTTTATTGGTGCTAATCAGAATCTTCTTTTACAATACAACAGAAGATAAGAGTTATTAAAACATCAAGGCCTAACTCATGAAGCTCAGTTTACAATCATCAAAAGTAAATAAAATCAATTCTGTAATAAAAATATAAATCATGAAATCAATAGTAAAAACAAAAGTTCTAAAAAATCTTGTATAAGTGGCAAAATGGAATAATGTATATACTTTGTAAAATATAAAAATAGCACACATCACACACCTACAAAAACCATACAAAAACAATTAGTTGGAAGCATGTTCTGCTGCCTCTGCATTATAGTCTTGCGTAGCCAGACTATCTGCATTAGTGGTAAGATGCTTCATGACATCTTGAGCCACTGCATGAGCTCCAATAGCATCAGACTGAAGTACCTTAATGACAGTACTCCATGTGTATGTGTCAGGATCATTGTCCTTCCATCTATTAAAAACAGCAATGAATCTATCCATGGGATCATGATAAGTATCATAAAGACTCCTCAAGAAACTATCATCCAAATGAAGTGCTGTTCCAAATTGATAGAACTTGTCTTGAATTTTTGCTGCTACTAGGTTAGTAAGATCAACAATATCAGGAGGAGAGTTGACCTCTGTAAAAGTGGATTGAATGACAAAACTGTCTGAAATATGGAACACAACTTACTTGGTGCCTGTATTTCTTGTTGAATGTCTTCAGGTTTAAGATGGTAGTCTTTACAGAGATTACAATAAACTCCCTTGTAGTGATCTTCAATATCTTCTGGTTCTGGTTCAGGTACAGGAGGAGACTCAAAATGATCCTTGACTCTGTGTGCTAAATCTTTAAACCCAATCTTAGCAAGAGCTGCTGCTAAAGGCTCCCATGATTCTGATCTATTCTGATCCCTCCACTGTATTAAAACTTTTCTAGTATGTTGGATGGGATCAATGCTTGTTAGTTCAATATTGTGAAGCTGACCAATAGCAAAACCCAGTATGTATCCAAAATCAAACCATTTTTCTTTTAGATTTCCTTCACTTGCAATAATGCGAAGACAGTCACCCAGTAATGAATCATTAGCTAAAAATAAAAGACAGTGAAGCTAATTTTAAAAATAAAATTGTGTACCTACCATACGTCATTACATCCATGGTGGATCCAGTACTGCTTGTAGATGAAGCTGGAGAAAGAAGTAATTGTATGGAACCTTCTAACAGAATTGTGCTTTTCACAGGAGGATGAACTTGATTGAAGTGAACTATTACTTTTTGACTTTTTTCCACTACTGCATCTGATATAAACTGTATTCTGAAACGAGGAGGATAGGAGAGCTTCTTTTCTAACAACTTAAGCCGTTTCAGCTCGTCTTCAGTGACTTCTGCAGCATTTTCACATCCCATCATTTGATAATAATCAATATCTTCACTAGAAATCTAGTGAAAATTAAATAAATTATATTTAATATAAAATTTAATAGCACATTTATTTAAGCATACGTGGTCTTTAGAAAATCCAACTTCTTTTCTTTTCCAACCAGGGACACTATGTGGCTCAAAAGACAATGACACTTGACCATCACCAGTAAATGTGACTGGTTCATATGACAGTATATTAAATCCTTCCTTAGCACACTGGTCTTCAACAACCTATGAAGTATAAAGTTATTATTTATTCTTGCACTTAAATTACCTCTGTGCAACCTTCTTGTTGGCATAAAAAAATAAATTGTACTGATAATTCCCTTCCATTTTTCTTATCAGCACGTGCTATTAAATACCTTCTGGGTATAAATTTGTATTCCCCTTTCTGGGCAGCAATGCAATTAGAGCAAAAATGAGGCGACAAAATTTTAAAAATTTGTAACCCAGAAGTAGATTCAGCCTGTGATCCACAATTTTCTTGGAAACTTATAACATCAGAGCAATCATCATCATGAGCTGTTAATACAGTGAACTGTTGTAGATTGGTATCACTGGAAATAGCAACATCATGTGGAATGTAAAGTTCTGCACTTTTATCCAGCTTTTGGTCAATGTGTACCCATACAATAGGAGTGACTGGTACATAATCACCAAACTTAAACTTATCACTGAAGAGACATGCTCCAAACCATACAGTAGCTGACTCTTGTACTGCTCCCTCTGGAATAATGAGAGTCACTCCATACTGACTACAATGATACACTAAACCACTACTGTCTAATGATAGCTCATGAACCTCACCAAATGCATCTAAATGCATAAAAATTAGAAACAAAATTTGTAGACTATAGCTACTAATTATACCTTTTATTTTTAGAAATAGCTTTTCATTGGTTGCGTTACATGCTTGATCACTGGTTTGGTTTGTCAATGAATGTTCGCCTGAATATGGAGTTTTAAGTCAGTATTATAGAGCTATGTCTATACTTACAGTCATAGGGGTAGGAACAAACTAAAAGTTGGGGGGGCTAAGGTATTATTTTTACAATTGATCATTAATACATAGCATGTACTGAAATTAATACTGTCCAAAATATTGGCGTCTATGCTCATTAAATGTAACAAATTCCTTTGCAATGTCCTCAATGTGTAAATCATCTGTATATTCTTTGTGTGTATGCAAAATAACTACATGATTAAGACATTGTTGAGTGCAAGTAGTTTTTAATCTCCGTCCTTAACGTCGAAAATGTATGCTCAGCTGAAGCTGATGTTGACAAAGTTGTTAAATAAAGAAGTTGAAGCTTGTGTATTTTTGAAAAAACTAATAAAAGTGTGTTCTTAGAAGTTAAACTAATGTATAAATTGTTTTACAAAACGAATCATCACACAATATGCACACATATAAGGATGATCTAAACTAAAGTCTATAGTGTTGATAATAGTAATGCATGTACATCACTTAAAGTTGGAGGGGCTAAGCCCCCCTTCAATGAAAGTTGGGGGGGCTTAAGCCCCTCCTGCCCCCCCTGTTCCTACCCCTATGCTTACAGTACATTGATTCCAAATCAAATTGAGGTTGTGATGATGCAATGTTATTTTCACATGACTGTAGCATTGAAGCTTGTACTGTTTTTTAAGTAATGAGTTGATAAAGTTTTTTTTTATTTTACCTGTTTCTACTTCTTGCAGGAACTGACTGGCCTCAATTGCACAAGCATCATTACTACTAGTGGATGTCCAAGGAAACCTAGCCTCATTCCTAGACCCATCTATGAACTCACGCCGGATGAGAGGCCAACCCCGGTGTGAGTCTGGTACTGAAACTAGGGGAAATGCAGGTAGATCTCTAGTACCTGTATAAACCACAATATATATATAGACATAATATGAAGATATTATAGTTTAATTACCTGCATCAGTAGAGAAAAAATTCAAATCAGTATTATCATAAGTTATGGCTGTTTCATGCAAAAGGAAATTTTGACTTTGCTCCTGTCCACTCATCATTGAATAAGTGTCCGTGTTCTGTGCACTTAGACAAGAAAAGCTATTTGTACTTTTCTGTTTCTTGTAGGCGGCAATAAAACAAGTTAAAATTGCAATGGATATTACTATGATCACCATGGTTGTGGCATAAGTGACTACAATGGCAACATATTCATCTGAAGTAAATTTTGGACTTGTAAAGAAATAGTTCATAGATGTTCTATTGGATGGTTTGATAAGAAAGTAAGTGATTGCCTCATAACTACATACAACAGTATTGCATATATCAATTAAACAGGAAGTTATACCATTACAAGTAGTTTGCTGCTGAAGTCCAGTAGTATTATAATATACTCGTACAACAGAAGCATTGGCTTGTACAGTAACACCACTCTGTAATTGTATACCAACGTAGTACTGCCCAGCACTTGTGATATTAAAAGAAAAAGGTACTGTTGTAAGCCTTTTTCTCACAGTTGTATTTGTTGACATAAAAGTAAAACAATGTGAGTTGCTATATTGGTATACTTTGCTGATACCTACTGACACCAAAAAAGTGCTATAATGTGCTTCATTCGTAAAAAGATAGAGGCAAACTGGATATGTACTAGTGTTTGAACTGATCGTTAAGTTGTACGTGATTGAAGACCCAGAGAGCAAATAAATGGGCTCATCACTTCCAAGATAATTAAAAGCCTCTCTATACTCTGATTCAGCCTCTAAAAGCAAAGGCAATTGTTCTAAAGGAAGATAATCCACGATGGTTGATGGTATATTTTCTGATAAGAGGATGACAGTGTAAGGCTGGCCTTGCAACGGTTCATTTGAAGAAAATGTTACTGACGATGACCTTGTGTATGATGAGTCAACTATTATAAGTGAAGAACTGTTACCTAATATATCGCCAATTTTAAGTAAATACAAATCAGAATCTTCATTAGGCGTCAACAAAAAAACCAGACTGAAAACAACAGGAAGCGTCACCAGAATCAATATAAGGCCGATTATGATGAAGCATACCGAAAGTATATATTTTCTAATTTTTCTTTTAGACTTATATTTATCTATAATTTTTAAAAGGTTTTCTAATTTCAAATTATAATTGAACATCATTTTTACCTTTAGATATTATAATAAGTCTAGCTTCATCTTTCCCGAGATCTCCCCCCATTGTCTGCTCATAGTTAAGTTAATTAACGCTTTGCTTGCTTAGTCTCGCGTATCATTCATCACGTGATGCCTTCCGTAGTTTCTGCTATAAAAAGTAATTGTAGTGCTTTGTAGTATATCCCTGGTAGTAATGACAAAAAAAATTTATAAGGCAATAAACATGCAATAATTGATACGGTAAATCTGCAATGTACATAAATCATAATAATAAAATTTTTCAACAACTATTATTGATTTTAAGATTTCTTGTGTTGGTAGTAAGATAAATACATGACCCATCCTAGATACACTGCACTGATGTAGGTCACTCTTAAAGCCGGAGGCACAAAGAAGAAGTTTAAAACCTAAGGAATAGAGCATAATAGTAATAATAGTACAATAATAGAGCCTTGTTTACACTCGCCATAAAACACAACGCAGATGAATGCAAAATTAAAATTTGGCCAATTTTGTGTCAACTTCAAAGTGCTTTTGCACCCACGCAATTTTGATCATTGCGTCAAATGTAAACCTAGCTTAAGGCTGTTCTATTCAAACTATATGCAGACATGACATACTTTCAACATTCCTAAAACTTTGTACATCAGTACATGGAATAAAATTGGTGGTGTTTTGTAGAAAATATCAAAACAATAGTAATTATTCAAAATATGCACATTCCTTACCTGTGCAGCTGGCCACACTATTAACTCGGTCTATAAAAAAAATTATCAAAACAACAGATTTAGTATTATAAAATTTGTGATGTACTTTATATACTGGCCAGAATTTCTTTTTCATGTCATTATACGAGTCAGTCCAGTTCATGCCACTCATTTTGTTCATGCCTACATAATTTATTATCACGACTTTCACTGAAAATTATAGCTAATGTAGGAGGTGCTAATGTGTTTTGAAATTGCATCATGCACCAAACATATATTAATAATAATAATACATACAACAAAAAGCATCTGTACAATTGCATTCAAGTAAATGGGCCATTAATATGTCCTTGATGTGATTCCAAAATGTTAAATAAAACTTCTAACAGTAAAAATTAAAATTGAGGGTGTACATACTACATACTACGTACATACATGTACCTAGAAAGAACACTATGACACAAGCAGGTCCATTGATAACCTCATCAAGGGTCACTTTCTTGAACACAGACACTACTCCTCTTCCAGGATACCTCTTGTCTAAAAACTTGAACCAGTAGTGCTCTGGTGGCCCCAATATAAATCCTATTACAGCCATTCTCTTGGTTCTTGCCCAGTCTATCTCCTGTTCGGAGTTCTTCTCATATTTCTGGACTAATAGATCACCCAGTGCCTCCAGGCCACAGCTAACTACAGTGTTTGTGAAGAGAAGATAGCGAGAGAAGAGAGTGTCATAGACTAGCCTCCAGGCCATGTTGAGTCATATGGAATCAGGGTGGAGCTTTAGAAATTAATGAATGATGAAAGCCCAACCAGGAAATAGTAATGATATTTATCTGCACACAGCTGTGCTACAAAGCTGCCAACTCACAAAGGAAAGCCCAAATGCGATGATAGTGAATTCTTTCTCTCTCCTCTCTTTTTCTCAATGGCTCTCCTACCAATGAGAGCTCTACAGCGACTCCGCAACCTCAGAAACAAGCTATCTGCTCTACCTTCCTCTTCATCTGCTTCTTCTACTTCTTCTTCCTCTTCCTCCGGCAAAATCAGTAATGCCAGACTGCTGCTTATAAATACGGGTACCTGTTGCTTCCTTTACTCAATGGGAGATTTCTGCAGACAAAGGATAGAAGGGAACACTACTGATTGGCATAGGACCGGGAGAATGGGTGTCCTTGGGTGCTGTCTCGGCCCATTGGATCATTTCTGGTACACGGCATTAGATAGACTGTTACCGGCAATCACAGCAGGGACTGTTGCCAGGAAAGTATTGCTGGATCAGCTAATAATGGCACCCATATGCTGCAGTCTCTTCTATCTAGGTAAATTCTCATTTACACCTTACAATAGTCAATTATCATGATAATTATCACCTACAATTATAGCCATGAACGTAGTAGTACTTTATGATTTCTTATGTACATGCATAGTAATGGACTTATTATTGTGTATTACTGGCTTCAAGAATGCAAATTATAGTAGATATACATATACATGCATTGAAATTATAAAAATACCTCACACTTGGGAAATACCTTTACATAGCTTGACAGGAAGTTTATAATGATATTTTCAATCTACAACTACTATAGGCATGTCAGCTATGGAGGGACGGAGTCGAAAGGATTGCTTCAATGAACTTCAAGTGAAATTCTGGCCTACTTACAAGGTACATATAGGATCAGAGCAGTGAGAGAGACTTTGTTCCTATTTTGTCTTTAAGTAGTAAACATAGTCTGTGTTGTGTAAACTATTATAGTTAGTACTCCATCAAACCTCCTTTCTTTGAAAAGGGAAGATTTAGTAATGATTATAATATTGTTTGTATGCAAATAATGATTTTCACTTCCTACTAATTCATTTGACAATATTATCATTATGATTCATTTGTTGACCTCAAACCTAGTTATATCACTACTGTAGTAACTATTGGCCTTGTCCATCTTCAGATACTGGGTATCTGTCATTCATTTTTGCTCAGTTTTGTATGATTATAGTGATTCCCTGTTGATGTAGGTGGATTGGCAAGTTTGGCCAGCAGCTCAAATTCTTAACTTTTACCTAATCCCCCCTCACTTCAGAGTAGCCTATGTAGCCTCCATTACCTTCCTATGGACAGTCTATCTCTCTTACATGAAGCACAAAGTGAGCTTAACACAGCCAGTGTCAAGCTGAAATCATTTTTCATACAATCATTTATATATATCGTTTTTAATTTATATCGTTTTTTTAGAAAATGTCAAAAACAGACTCTATGTTAATCCATTAATATTGTTTTAAGTGTATCATACTTACAATAATTAAAGTATAAGTAGTATTATTGTTTTAAAATGTGATTAGACTGATAACCATTTCCTTGTTTTTTGGCTTTGAGCTGAGCACATGCTCAACACGAGGGCGAGGCCGCTCGTGAATACTATTACGGGGGAGTGGGTGACAAAAATTAAGTGTCTGTGTCTGTTTGCATATCATTTTAATCATAATAAAGCAATAAAAACACATCAGAGCAAATAGCAGAAGAGGTAGAGACATAAATGACTATAAATATTATTATTTTGATGAGTCGTTGTTAGTTTATTTCCAAGTGCAGTCACATCAGGCTTAACAACCCACTATGAGTGGTTTATAGTTAGACCTTCACTAGCACTCACAGAAGATAAACCAAGCCTACAACACCATCTTATTATAGTACGATTTAAGAGAGAAAGATATAAATAATAATAATAATGATAAGTGAAAAGAGTCTATGTTTCTGAAGACCACAATGCTTCCATGTCAGGTACAATGTCCTATAAAAATTGAGAAAATATAGCACAGCTTAAAGTTCAAAGCTAAAGTAAAACTGCCTATATACATTGTACATGGATACATTTACTATTGGATGTATAGTTTTGTCCCCCAACTCTCTCTCTCTGTTTGGTTGGCTTACCAATGGTTGCGTTGTTGGTGAGTATCGTCTGAATGGCTTTCCATTTGCATCACATAAAAACTGAAAAAGAAACGGAGAAAGAGAGGGAGAGAGAGAGTGGAAAAAAGAAAGGAATCTCTACTACACACAATCACACATTACAGAGCTGCAGTGATGCATTTAAGAATCTCAACAAACATAGTAATAACATCATTAATTCATTACAGCAAACACTGATTATCACACTACCTTAGCGTAGTTCCACTTTATGAAGCTATAAAAGAATAATAAAAACAGAGCATGTCAACAACTGTGCTACTATTAAACTTTGCTCACTTTCCAAGACTTCCTTTCAGTCTGGACTTCAAAAACTTGTACAGTGGATGAGCATCAGGACCATTCACGTCAATCTTTGAAAACATGTCGAACTCAACCCCAAAACGCCGTGCAAACTCCTTGATCTCTGCTTCACTCCCTTGCTCCTGAAAAAGAAAATTATTAACAAAACTACATGGTAGTATTATTTTGTTGCTGTAAAATGATATCAAAGCTAAGTTTTGTATTTAGTCTAACAAGTAATCATAGCAATGTTGTCCATGTTTATATCCATCATTGTACTTGGTCAAAGGCTTTTATAATTTACAAAATTGGCAACACTCGTCTTTACTCAATAATACTGTCACAGCAGTCACAAAAGATGATAAAGCCAAAATAAATTAAAGAATTTGTGTTCACTTTATATAAGCTATTGTACACTTTAGGCTAGATAGAATCCTCATTCTCAAGCAAAGTAATAAGTACATGTACATGTACATACAAATGTATACATGCACATGTATATTCAGTGCTAAATACTGAGTAGTTGCAGTTAAAAAGCAATCAATGTAAAGGAAGTTAAAAATATGCAGCAATAATATGATAAAGGATGTGAAATCATCAGTCACAGTATTGCTTCAAAGAGACACCCATTTATTTGATATTGCGAGACAATTACACTAATCACTACAAACCTATTCACAGGAAGAATTTGATTATAGCGTAAACTAAATAACACATACTAATCAGTTCATAAGGTCCACCAAAGTATTAGAATAGGGAAATATACCAGTTCTACTAATACTAAACTAAACGGACATACATACATGTAATAAATTTAATTTGTAGATGCATCAGTAAACCTGTAACATGCATATCAGACAAATCCAATAACCAACAAACCAACAAAATTACATTAAAATTGTTATTTGGTTAGCAGTATAATCCCCTACCTACATGTACAATACACTACTAAACCCCCTCGCTACAAGTAAGATTGCATGGCAATAATAATTAATTAGTACAACTAAGCTCTCATTTATACATTGAGCTATACATTGTACTATACATTACTATACTAAATTACAAATAATGTACTATACATTGAAAACACCAATTTTTTCCATATACATGCATAACTCCCAGCGGACATGACGGAGCAATACACTACTAAACATCTGCTAACATTAAGTAAGCATGCATGGCAATATCAATTAGTATGCAACTAAGCTGTTCAAATTCTATTATACTCTACTACATTGAAAGCGCCAATTGTTTTCATATAACTCTCAGCAACCTGTTTGAACTGGTTTGACTAACCTGTTTGAACTGGTTGCACGGGAAGGCAAGTATCCTCAATCCCCTAGTGTGTGCGTACTGAGAATGAAGTTGCACTAATTGAGTGTAATTCTTCTCAGCTAAGCCTCATTGACTAGCCACATTAACTATCAATGTAACATGGCCACTATAATAGAAGAGAGAGAGAGAGAGAGAGAGAGGGAGGAAGGGAGGAAGAGAGGAAGAGAGAGAGAGAGAGAGAGGGAGGGAAATAATATAATGAAAGTCTGAATAGGATACCAAAAATTTGAAGAGAATGACAACTATGACAAATCAATAGGTAGCTTACTTTACATGTACATGTATGTACACAAGTATTACCGATATTTATCCAGTGAGACAGTTTTCTTGTCAATATCAACAGCAGAGAATTCAAAGATGGATGTAGCATTCTTCAATTGAGCAGTTTCCTCTTCAGGAGATTGTAACACTTCAACACCACAAGATGAGAGGGCCCTGATCCACATAAACTGCGTATCAACATTATCAGCAGCTAAACACAATGCTACATGAATATAAAGAGAAAGGAAGAGAGAGAGAGAGAGAGAGAGGGAGGGAGGGAGAGAGAGAGAGAGTAAGAATTACCTTAGCCTACTTTTAATTGTGGATGCGTGTTTATTATTTCAAAAAATAAAAAATGCATGTTATATTATAAGATACATGTGTTTCATTAAAGTAATGCTTGAAATAACAAAACTTATTAATAATAATTTATTTTAAGGATAAGTGAATGGAATGAGAGGAGGGTAGTGGGGCGATGCATTGTTTACGGTAAGCTACATGTACATTTAATATGTCTTTGATGCACAAGAATTCCAAAAACTTGGTGCCTATTCAAAACAATAGAAGCAAAAAATCCAAAACAAAGGCTGTCACAATGTGTGTTGGAAGTTTCAATTCTAATATAAATAAAAATTATTTGTTGAAATCAGCTCAAACTTTCTACATATCATAAGGATGTCAATATGTATCAGAAAATGTAATAAAATTTTGGGTGATTTTGGAGCCATTTTTTGCATTTTATAATATTTTCTATGTTTTGAGTTATAGTTTTTTTAAAAATGCGCAGATTTTTTGAAAAAAAGCGTGGGCTATAGCCCACGCTTTCTTTCAAAAAATGGCTCCAAAATCAACCCAAATTTTTATTACATTTTCTGATGCATATTGATGTCTTTATGCTATGTAGAAAGTTTCAGTCAATTCCGACAACAAATTTTGGAGTTATGAGTATTTTTTTAAACTAGTAAATTTTGAAAAGCAAAGGCTATACATGTATATAGCCTATGCTTTTTTCCTGAAAAATGGCTCAAAAATCACCTCAAATTTTTATTGCATTTTCTGATACACATTGATGTCCTAAGACTATGGAGCATCAAATTAATGTCTAACCTTTCTCTTTTCCCTGGGGATGGTTCTCGTAAAACTGAAGTGAAAATCGCCCACTAGTTTTTACGGCATCAGGCTGGACGGACATACACTCTAAACAGAAGACCTGGACTGGAGATGAATCCTAAAAATAAAAATAATCTCGATAAATAAAAATCTTTTTCTTAGAATTTGGAGGAAATGAATCATATTAACAAACAGTACAATTAAGCTAAGGTACAGTGTAGTCCTCACAAAACAATACTAACACATGTACATGTATAGTGGTAGCATAAAGTCACGGTATACATTGTGTACAACAGCAACCAATACTTACATGCACATGTATACCATAAGGATGACACCCTCTCCCTGAAATAATGAGGATATTTTGTAATGTCTCAATTGGTACAAACATACTTCTCACATGAGGATAATAAAGACAGACTGATACATGTAGTATGATCAAAAAGGTTGCTCAAAAATATTATTACAATTACAGCTACACATCTTGCATATACACATATCACACTAACATAACATCATCCTCACCAGTTCTGATTTGAATTGATATATTTTCTTGTTCTTTGATGAAAGGGCAAATACTCCATAGCTCCAGCCAAGAGCTAACGGTCTTCTCTTTGCTAAGAGACTGATCAGCGTCCCTTGCTCTCCTTTCATGTAAGCAACAGACGGGCCAGACATTGCTTCATGAGGTGGCTCTGTCAGCAAAAGAAAAAGTACAAGTTTAAAGTGTGTTTTATATACATGTAGTTACACATAATATACTGTACATTATAAGTGGTTTTTAGGGTTACAAATTTCATGGTTTTTGCAGATTCTTTCCTGATTTGCAAAAATAAAATCCACACAAATCAATTTAATATGGTACCCGCGTGGCACGTGGTAGAATTTGTGTAATAAAATGGGCAAATTGGAATTTTAGTAAATTTCATGAAATATAATTTCCTTGAAAAAACCCACTTATACAGTACACTATAATAAATGATGGGAAAAACCAAGATTTGAAAAATATTAAAAAAAAATAACTAAGTAATACTCGAGCTTCAATTGATGAGTGCAATATACCATTTTAAACCACAAAGATTAAAATGTGACGGACTGACATTCATAACAGTAAACATATTGCAGGTCGGCTTTGACTTATCATAATAATAAATAACTCATTTATCATCAACTCCACTCATTTATCATCAACTCCATTGATGGATAATGTAGTGTGTACATTTGTAGATTGTCAGTCAAGATACTACATTCTTCTGTTGCATTCAGCCACACTTAGACACACTATTCATATTTGTTTGCCTATACAAGGTCCTAATTGAATTGAATTCCATTCAAAACATAAAGTCTTGCTACTCGGTTAGTCTAGTACCCAGTGAATGGAGTCAAAACCTTAACGTTAATACTGTGGATTGTGTCAAAGTTTGTCTGTACTTATTGAATTATAACTTTATACTATTAGAATAGGTTCAAAACACTAATACATTAAGTAAGTACTCCATCTATTTTTCACCCTCTCTCATTCTCTCTCTCTCTCTTACCATCTTGTCTGAATCTAAAGAAAAGATAAGCATCTTCAAAGTTGTGTTCATCAACAACATGATGAATGTAGTCAGTATCAATAAGCAACTGGCCTAGTAACACTGCCTGAGCTCTGTCCTCTGCTTCTCCAGACGTTATCAACCAATCAACAAGTTCAGACGCTAGGGGAAACAGAGAAGGAGAGAGAGGGAGAGGGGGAGAGAGAGAGAAAGAGAGAGGGAGAGGGGGAGGGGAGAGAGAAGGAGAGAGAGAGTGAAAGGCAAGAGAGAAAACAAATGAGTGAGAATGAAACCCAATAGTTTCTATGTATACATTCACTTTTGTGTACAACACTTTTAAAAAGGAAACAAAGTCCACAGTTCAGAATGCATGACTCTTCAAAAACAATATTACATGTTTACAACATACAGTACATGTACATGTACACACGCTGAAGCAGAAACTCAAAGTCTCAAAACAACATGTTCGTACAAGCAAATAAAACACTCTCTGTTTCCCTAGTGGGATCAATTGTTGAAATTTTAAATACAATACCAAAAGCAATAAGATATACCATATAGCCACAAAGTTTCGAAGCAATAAACTTTCGCGAATTAGGCCACAATCTTTTTTCGCAAATTAACTTTCACGGTTATTATTTTAAGCACACGTGCTTATGGGCAATACGAATAATTTTACGGAATTAACTTTCGCGAATACGGAAAATCTGCAAAAACAGCGAAAGTTGTACCCTCAAAATTAAGTGGTTATACGGTACATGTATAAATAATAACAACAGTACACTTGCAAATTTAATAATTTCATTGAACTACGACTAAGATTAAAATGGCATAATGTTTTTTTGATAACTTATGAAATCCCAAAATAAGAAAAATAACAGTCAGGAATATATAATTACTAAATGTCACCTTTAAATATATACATGAACCTAGCATTACAATGAGCACATACATGTATACACGTATGCTGCTCTAGCTTCAATGAAGCAGTATTCTAAAAGTACAAAGTACATGCATTATCATAAATAATTGTTATAGCTACACAAAAAAAAGCTACACAAAGACTGCACACAGGATCCTTCAATAAAGAACAGCATGATAACACTAGTATCTCTGTCTCAATTTGTCCCCTTACTGGCTCTTCTCCTTATCTCTACTATATCTCGGCCCTAACTTCCCCGAACGTATGCAACTGTTTACTCAAAATATGCTTTATTTATTTTTAATAATAGACACTACAAGGCTGCATTAAATAATGATGTCTCTTTATCCTTCCTTCCCCCCCCCTATCTCTCTCTCCCCTAAGCTCTAGTAATATTATACATTCCTTGTGTTAATAGACCAGGCATGCTAAAATAATTCAGAGCCTGCACTGAACAGCTAAACAGAGCCAAATTAACATGATTGGTCGAAACCTAAACGGGATGCTCGAGAATTAAGCTTCATTAAGAAAGCTTTGACTTGCTGATTAACAATAAATACAATGGACTAATTTGAACTTCTTTATTGCATTTTTTACATGATAGTGGTAATTATGCAGTATAATCTGTATCATGATTTGCACCCACAGTGATTACAAGTAACTATAATGCTGTATAGCAGGTAATTTTGAAGGTGGAAAATTTAGGCAAATTGCTAGTATTTTGGTTTTAATTTGGCAAATCTGCGGCCACGTGCCATTGAGCATGCATGTAATGGTACAGAATGGTGGGGTTTAATTTGGCAAACAGCCATTAAAATGCCAAATCAAATTTGCCGAGATTAATCCCCTCCAAAATTACCCTCTGAACAGCAGCATGTGTGTAATTCCTGTAAGTTCAGGTGCCTATTCACTAAACGGACAGTTAGTAAACTGGCTACTAGCATGTCCATTCAACAATCAAGTGAATGACAGTTAGTGCCAATGGAATGAATGGATGATTGCAATAGTTCTCATTCACAATTTTTGCATACCGATGAAGCAAGAGTAATATGACCTCAGGTGATAGGTCCTGTCTTGGATTGAGAGCCCACCTAGCGAACGTATCTTTTGCAGTAATGCATCAGCCTAGGGAGGGAGAGAGAGGGGGGGGGTTAATGAAAGGTCACACAGCATTAAAAAAAAGGAGGAGTGAGCTACATGTGTGAGAGATGCCAAGGGAGATGGAGGATAATAAAAGGAATATACAAAAAAAGAGTAGCTTCCAAAAGAAGTACTTATAAAAGTAAACATAGCAGGACTGCATTTAGAGTAGCCTCAGTAATTGCTTACTCTTCTGATGTCTCTGGACCTGTCTTCGCTCACTTTACTGCTCACAGATGCCGAGCATTGAAGAGAGGACATTATCAATATCTAGAAGCAGGTCTGGCCTGCTTAGAAGCTACTTCTTCCTGGAACGAGCTCGCAATTATAAAGAAAGAGAACACAGGAGATTATGTAAAAGCAAAACAGGCGTGGTCAGAGCTCTTGTGGGCGGAGTTAGTTCAGAAATTCAGAGGAGGAGCTGCTAATGATCATGGAAGGTACCGCTAGTCGAGCCGCTAGCACTAAAATGGAAGATAGAGAAGAGATAAGAGACCTACTTCAGTTTAAGCATGACTTTACAGTAAGTACAGGCTAGTGTGAGAGCTGTGTATCAGTGAGAAAGAGAAAAAGAGAGAGAGAATGATGCAACATTGTCTATTGCTGAAAAGGACAATCGAAAAGGATTTACACTTACCAAGTGTTAACATGGCATAGCTTGTGCTGTGGTGAAGAGCCAACCGCAATTCATTATATATGCATTATTTTAAAAATGTTGTGCTATTAAAAATATAGCCTCCATCCCATGTGTAACACAATCAAATATTGACACCTTTTTAGTAGTATAATATTTACATGTACTCATGTTGTCATCAATACTCCAATATTATAAGTATGTTTTATAGTTAGGACTTGTATCTGAGAATGGTAGTTCAAAGACTAATGGTAGTATTGATGGTAAGATGGGAGCTGCTGAGAAACGAAATGACGAAAGCATAAAATCACTCAAGGAATTTCAAAAGTCTTTTAAGGTAATATCAACACTGTTTATGTTTTATAATAATATTGTGAAAGGCGATATCATTTTGGCTCCTTCTCTTAGCAAACTTCATTCCTTTGTCTGTATTTCTCTTACTCAATGTTGTCAGTTTTTTTTAATTGTCCTTTTGTCTGATCAACCCTTGTCTTGCTTGCTTCCATCACATCTTTTCCTCTCTTTCTTTATTTTTTTGTCTCTTTCTCTCTTTAGCTTGGTAAGAGTGAACAGTCAAACTCAGTCTTGTCCCCACACGTTAATGGCAGTGATTGCTCTCAAAGAGAAGGTACAAACACACACTACATGTAGTTCTAGTTGATTATTCTTCTTTAAATTACGAGCATATATTGTATTTGAATATATCTGTCATTCAATTAGATGTAGGCTTTATGCCAAATTTCCTATTCTTTTGCCAAACTTTTCCCTCCATGGCATAATTAACATTCATTCTCATGCAATGAGATTACAGGAACAATGCCAATTCTCTCCCTCTCTCTTTCTCTCTCTTTATTATGAATATAGTCCCCAGATCTCTGGATATTACAGCACAGCCAGTATCAAGAGGACAAGCAAACACCAGCAAAAAGAAAAAGCAGAAAAAGAAACGTTTAAAGCCAATCCCAGACGACATTGACTATTCATTCAACGATCTTTATGAACTGACTAGCGAGATACTGGGCAGTGGGGCTAGAGCTACTGTCATTACTTGTATTAAGAGGACTACAAGACAGCAATATGCGGCAAAGGTAGAGTTGAATTATACATGAAATAACTGTCTGAGGGAAAGACCTTTTACTAAAGGGGGAGCCCTACTTACATATATAAAGGAACTGGTTTTCCTGTATGTACATGTATATGTAATTTAAAAGGTACTTTTTATGATGTTATATTAGATAATGCATTGTAGTACCGTTCCTTTCATTAGTGTGTGGTGTCCCTGGTTATTATGACCGCACGTGTTATTAAGTTTAGTCTCATTTTGTTGTCTAACTCTGATACTACATTTATGCCAAATTATGTCGAGTGTTCCCAGTCAGAAGTACATGTACCATTTTTGTATGAGGTTCTCCCCATTAATATAATCTTTTACACCACTTCTGTGCTTATAAATACAACTGTGCATGTACATGTACATGTATGTATTAATAATTAAGTTTTGAAACAGTTCCCCATTAAAGATGTAGCTTGAACACTAAGGACCCTTTATAAGAGTATATGTACAACCAGACAATGCTCATTTTGATTAGGCTATGCATGTACATGTACATGTACATGTATTTAATCACTATATTATGGTTCAATACTTTAATTATATACATGTACCGACTACAAAATTATTTTATATTTTATTCTAATTGTAACTTATCTAACTTATCCTACTGCTCAGTCCTAAAATTATTACTATCAATATTGTTTTTGTTTACATGATGTTTTGTGGTATGTTCCTCATTGTAGATAATTAATAATTCCGGCCCTGAGGTTCGTGACAGAGTTCTAAAGGAAGTTGAGATACTCTATAGTTGCTCCTCATGCGATAACTTCCTTAAAATAGAAGACTTTTTCGAGACTTCTGAGAAGTAAGTAATGATATTATTATAATTGAATTATATGATTCCACTTGTCATATTGTTAGGTTTTACCTCGTGTTTGAGAAAATGGAAGGTTTGTCGATCATACCCTTATCCAAACTTACTTTAATTAAACTATTTCTGAGGCTTTCTCTCTCCTCTTCTTTCTTGCCATGGTTAAATGCTTTCAACCTTCTACTCTCCTTTCTCTTCTCTGTAGGTCCTTTATTAGAACTAATTCAAAAGAGAGAAAGATTCACTGAGAGAGAAGCAAGTGAAGTGACCAGGGAAGTTGCTGCTGCTCTTTCATTCCTTCACAGACAAGGTGAATACATAAGATATCACATACACTACTACTATGCATGTATACATCTATACACATATTAGTAAAAAGTGATGTACTGTAAATTGGGTTCTTTTGAGTAATGGTAATTTTTGTATTGTAATGAGGCATGCTAAATTTAGAATTGCTAATATTTCCTTTTTCCCTATTAATATATTGGACTAAATAGGCAGCATATGAAGTTTTCCAACACCTAAATTTTCCATTCTGTACTTCATAGCCATTAAAAATAACCAGATGTGTGGTATTTAAACATATTAAAGTGACCGCAAGCGATCAAGTATTACATTTTAAAGGTAGTAATTGTTCTGTTAATAGTAGTACAAGTACACGCAATACATGTAATTTACATGTACGAGGAATCATTTGTTTTAATTGATCGTAATAGTATATACTATACATGTACATGCATGTACATGTACATTCTGTGAAAGCAATTAAACGAAACAATAGATCACATTCCATTCTGACTTGAGTAGTGTTTTATGCTTTCTTCTAAAATAGTACAGTGATTTTCCAGTTAAACTTGCATGATAGAGAAGCAGAAATGTGTTATGAACATGCTCTGTTGTGGTCAGTATTAAGTAGGTGCATCCATTTTATTCCTGACCACAACAGAGCTTGTGTATAACACATTTCTGCTTGTCTATCATGCCAGTTTAAGAAATAATCACTGTACATGTATAATCCCTGTACAAATGTACATGTACATTACAATAGCTATTACATTATACATGTTTTAGAACCAGTGATTAATTAAGTTTTCTATTGTTACATGTACATGTATGGTACATGTAAAGCAATTTTCATCTATATACATGCAAGCTTAGCTATTATGGTATTTACCTGTAGGAAGTTATGTGTTTGTGTGTAGCTGTTTTGGGGCTTTTGTTGTGAGCGATGTACATGTACATGTATTTGTGTCAGCTAATTAATGGTTGCAGTTTTGAGATTCCGTTGCATGACAAGTGGTAATGTTCATAGCCACCACATCAATTAGGAGTCATAATATTAGGGTATATTGTATTACATGTTCAATGCCACCTAATTGAATGTGATTGTATACTTAGGCTGCGTTTACACAGCAACGCAAAAGGTATCATTTTAAAAACGATACACTTTGTAAAAACAATACACTTTGAACGATACACTTTGAACGATACGATACACTTTGAACACCGTTTTCGTTTATCAAGATTCTATCTCGTTTTCATTTGTTTCTGTGTAAACAGAAGCAAAAAACAGGCACAAAACTGGACGGATTGCAGCGTTTTCAATTCTGTGTAAATGCAGCCTTACTAACTGTAAAATACTGTAGATCAGGAAATTAGTGTGGTAAAAAATTTTTGTGTTTTAAAATTGTGCTGTGATTTAAATTTTACTAAACAAGACCGTGTCATATATTATTGAATGTGGCAGTAATTATATGGGTGATCTAATTTTTTGCGAAATTCTAATCCAGTAATACTTAAATCACAATAAAAATTTCCAGATAGACGTTAAGCTACATGTATTTTCCGACCTTTTGTACATGCATGTACATGTACATGCACTTTAGTCCATGCAGTTAACTTGATTGTGTTGCTAATTTTTCATGTACTTTTTTTGTAGGCATTGCTCATCGAGATTTGAAACCAGAGAATATTTTATGTCAAACAAAAGATGAGGTTAGTTTGTATGATCATATTGTATTACTCCTCCGTTATGTACATGTACATGTAATTTAAGAGCTTGTTTACTGGTGTTTATTGAGTCAAATTTTTGAACTACATGTACATGTGTATTATAAAATTTCAACCATAGACCTTGAACTAGTATGAATAATGGATTTTTGCTACAAGAGGTTTTCAATTTATCTTACACTAATTAATTAATGCTTGGGTTTATAGTCTACGAAGGTGGCTGATTAAAATTTGTTTAAGTTTTTTGTCTATTTTGTCACCTACTGTAGGTTGTTCCTATTAAAGTTTGTGATTTTGATTTAAGCAGTATGATGAGTCAGCACACTCCAGCGACCACACCCAACCTATTCACACCGGTAATAGACTCACACACACACACACATAATGATAATAATAATAATAATGATGATGATATAATTCTTTTTCTACATTTAAGTGTATGCGTTTTTAACCTGTTTTGTTTAATAATAATAATAATAATAATAATAATAACTAGGTGAATGTAAACATTGAGGGGGCGAGCATGAGCCATTGATTGACATTTTTTGACTAACATTAAAATTAATAAATTAATCCAGCTCTTAGGTTTTTTAATTTTTTAATTTTTACATTTTAATTTTTCTATTTTTATTTTATTTTTTATTATTTTTATTTTTCTATTATTTTTAAAAATTTATTATTATTATTTATTTTTATTATTTTTAATTTTTTTGATTTTATTATTATTATTTTATTTTTCTTATTTTTTATTTACTTATTTTTTCTTTTTTCATTTTTATTTTTATTATTTTAATTTTGAATTTTTTTACTTATTTTTAATTTATTATTATTTTGTTTTATTTTTTAATTTTTAATTTTGTTATTTTATTTTTAATTTTTATGTAATTACAATATGTAATTTTCCTTTTCCCTCCCTTCCTCCCAAAGGTTGGATCAGCCGAGTACATGGCCCCTGAAGTCCTTGACACATTCACTGGTGAGATATTCTCTTACGATAAGAAATGTGACCTATGGAGTCTTGGTGTGCTGGTCTACATGATGCTCTCTGGGAGCCCGCCCTTCACTGGCGGCTGCAGGACGGACTGCGGCTGGGAAAAAGGGGAGGAGTGTGAAAAGTGCCAGGTCTGTCAGTATTTTTAATTAATTTACAATCAATTTAAATTTATAATCAATTTGACATTAGTTTTAATTCAGTTTTTAATTATTTATTTCGTTGCCTACGACTTGCCCTTACTTTTTTCTTTGTACATATACATATGCATTCATAACTCATCATTCATATATGATGTATATACATTTAAATGCTAATTCTTTAAATTTTCTTTCTTCCTCCACTACTTGTACATAGTTTATCTAATACATTCCATCGTCAGTGTCAGTTATTATAATAAATTCCACTTCTTTTATTCATTAACAGGCTATTCTCTTGGAGAAGATTGGTAAAGGACAATATAGCTTTCCTCAAGAGGTATAGCACTATATATTATACCGTATAGCGGAAAATTAAGAAGGTAGTTAAATTTGGCAAATTGCTAAATTTTGGTGAATGGCAAATTTTTTAATTTGGCGAATTTGTAGCCATGTGCCATCAAGCATGCACATAATGGCTCAAAATGGCTGGTCCTTATTTTGGCAAATGGTTATTAACATGCCGAATTCACCAAATTTGACTTCCTCCAAAATTTCCCGCTATACGGTACAAGGACTGATGCTACACATAGTCATGTACATGTACATGTATGATTACTACTATAACTTAATTATTTGGGGGAAAATTTTTCAATTAAATGTTCTTGCAATCCTCGTTGTGTGTTAATGTATTAATGTGTGTACATGTGCATGTGTATGTAGATATGGGCCAGTATATCAAGTGAAGCTAAAGATCTCATATCGAGTCTTCTTCAGCGAGACGTAAGGAAGAGACTCTCAGCAGATGAAGTATTGGCACATCCCTGGATTAAAACCGTGAGTATATTTAGGGACTTTATCAGTCAGTTTTATTTATCATATTTCATTGTTATTCTTTATTGTATTGTAATAGGAAGTTCCTGATACTCCTCTTAAAACTCCTGGTGTCCTGAGACTGTAAGTCCTGCTAATGATTTATTTTTAAAATGACCCAACAACCCAATTATGGCATATTGGTGTCCTCATCCTGTGTAGAAAGTTTGAGCTGTTTCCGGCAAATAATTTTCGAGTTTTGAGCATTTAAAAAAATGGGCCAATTTTTGAAAAAAAGGCAAAGGCTATAGCTCATGGTTTTTTCCAAAAAATGGCTCCAAAATCACCCCAAATTTTTATTACATTTCCTGATGCATATTGATGTCCTTATGCTGTGTAGCAAGTTTGAGCTGATTCCAACTTCAATTTTTCAAGTTATGGCCATTTCAAGAAAACACCCAAAATTTGAAAAAATACCCAAGGCTATAATAGCCCATGTTTTTTCCCGAAAAATGACTAAAAAATGACCCCCAATTTTTATTACATTTTCTGATACATATTGACGTCCTTATGCTGTGTCTTATGCTGTGTAGCAAGTTTGAGCTGATTCTGACTTCAATTTTTCAAGTTATGGCCATTTCAAGAAAACACCCAAAATTTGGAAAAATACCCAAGGCTATAGCCCATGATTTTTTCCGAAAAATGACTAAAAAATGACCCCCAATTTTTATTACATTTTCTGATACATATTGATGTCCTTATGCTGTGTAGCAAGTTTGAGCTGATTCCGACTTCAATTTTTCAAGTTATGGCCTTTTTAAGAAAATGCCAAAATTTGGAAAAATACCCAAGGCTATAGCCCATGATTTTTTCCAAAAAATGACTCCAAAATCACCCCAAATTTTTATTACATTTTCTGATGCATATCGATGTCTTTATGCTATTTAGAAGGTTTGAGCTGTTTCTGGCAAATAATTTTCAAGTTATGAGCATTTTTAAAAATGGGCCAATTTTTGAAAAAAAGCAAAGGCTATAGCCCATGGTTTTTTTCCAAAAAATGGCTCCAAAATCACCCCAACTTTTATTACATTTTTTGAACACATATTGATGTCCTTATATGCTGTGTACAAAGTTTATCTTCCTTCCCTCCCTCCCCCCCCCATACAGCAACCCCAGTATTACAGATGAGCTCTCTCAAGTTGCTGCCTCCTGCCTCAAGTGCAATAGAAGACTATCGACTCATTTTGAGAAATCCTTCAAACTCTCTCCCCCCGGGAGCTCAGAGCTGGCACTGAGAAGAGGAGGAGACCACAAATTCCCTTGAAAATACAATTAATGACACAAACACCTACCACATCACACGTGCATACACTTTCCCACTACATGTACATGTACACTTCTCTGATACCCAATCACTCATAGAAAGACATTGATTTTACTGATTGGAATGACTGCTGGCACAGTCAAGCCGATACAGAAATGACTATTATTTTTTTCACCAATCCTTTTCTAAACTATTTGTTATTGTAACCGACTAATTCCTGTCTCTAAAAATTGTAAAAGTCTTAATAATAATAATAATAATAATAATAATAATAATAATAATAATAATAATAATGAGTCATTATAAAAATGGTATAAAATTTCTAGTTAGTCCCAGTAATATTCATCATCAGACTCGTATAAAATCTCCAGCTCACGAGGAAGATCAGGAGCACGAGGGATACCAGGAACAATGATAATGGGTGAATCAGGGGTAGGAGGTGAAGACGAATACCACGAATCAGTATCAGTGTCGGTATCAGTATCAGTGTGATCCGAAATCAGGCCGTCGTCTTCCGGGTCTTCGAATTCCGGGACGCTCAATTTTTGCGTGTTAAACCCTCGAGCTTTTTCAATGAAAACCCTCCGAGCAAGTCGACTCTCGATAGTACCCAGTACTATCTTATCCTTTGGCGTGCAGAGGTGTGGCCTTGCAATCATTTCAGCTAGTCCTTCTGTGCTCTTCTCCAGAGGAGCAATCAACTTGAGGAGCTCATCTCTTCTCTTCTCTCCATCAGTGTAATAACTAAGGGCGTATGAAGCTCTAAGAACCAAACGGGACTTTAACAATTCACGTATAGCATCTTTAGCAAACTGTCCCTCTTTGTCTTGGTCTTCTAGTCGAGTGACGGCCGCTGCTTGAGCTGATGCCATTAGCGACTGGACTTTCTCTGATAGATTCGAGAGCATCTTCTCTTCAAACTCTAGGCTCTGGCAGTGGTTGGAGTAGCGGTTGTAAGCATGTTTGAAGTACTGGGCATTCTTTTTGTTTGACTCCAATTCAGCGTGCTGCTTCATGGCTTCAAGGTGCTCCTTGGCCCTTTTGAGTGCCTGGAATCTAAATGTAAAGAGCAATCATTAATTAAATAACATACATGGGATTATTACTAATACATACAAAGCGATACCATATTATAGCTGGAAATTTTGGAGGGAGTAAAATTTGACGACTTGCAAAATTTTGGGTGATTGGCTGATTTTAATTTGGTGGATTTGTGGCCACGTGCCGTGGAGCATGCGTATAATGGCTCAAAATAGCAGATTTTTATTTTAGTGAATTGCTATCAAAACACCAATTCGCCAAATTTAATTCCCTCCAAAATTACTCGCTATACAGTACTTATTATAAAAACACATTCTACAGGCAGCAAGCCAACTAACACTAATTGGTATGATAGCACTTAACAAGTTAGTATTTATATTAAGAGCAAAAGCAACTGCTAAAAAACTAATGAAACTAAAAGCTAATTACTATAAATGTAGGAAGATACAACACTGTCAAAATGATAACAAAAAGACAGTCCCAAGAGTGATTTAGGCCCATAGGGCAAGCAATAGTCAATAACATTAATAAAGACTAATACAATAATATCCTTTACCTGTTGCAAGTATAATATCCCCCAGTCCTGCTACTGTGAATGGCCCAACGGCCAAGACAAGCCCAACAAAAGTCATGATTGCATTTTGAGCAAGTCATGTGGTTACAACCATCACTCCTCTGTATGGGTATCTTGCACTTTGGACAGGGTTTGCTGTTCTTAGCAACCCAAGCCTCACTCGTCGCTCTCTCACTCAGCGAAGCAGCAGTAGCTTTAGATATATCCCTGTCCGCTAGACTAGCTATCTTGCTCTTCCACGCTTTCCAACTATCACAATTGCAAGGATCGTGAGCCTCTTCAGAACAAGACCAGCAGAAGAAGTGGCCAGCACCACAGTCGACGTTACGCTGTTGTACACCGGCCGAGGACTGGGCACTGGACTCACTTGAGTCTGAGACTGCTCTAGCAGCTCCACCTCCTGCCCCTCCCCCGTCTTTGGACAATTTTAAATGTACGGCTCTCTCACAGCCTGGGTGGGGGCACCAGCGAGTGTTGGGGTTACCCTCAATAAAGGACCCGAGATCAAAGTGGGCAAACTTGGCGCTCATTTCCGATGGAAGGAGCCTCAACACCAGTTCCTGATTAACGAGCTCCTCGCATCCAAAACCAGGACACGGTATGTTAGTGACTTTACCGTCTTTCACTTTGGAGCTAAAATACTCCATCCAACATAACTTACAAAAGGAGTGAGTGCAGTCTGGATTAGAAAGCAGCTCTATCGACGGGTCACCACAAATCTCGCATATGTGCTCTTCTCGTGACGTTTGCTTCATTACTACCACTTCAACTGCTAAACTCGTTTGACGAGCCATGGGTAGTTTGACTTTTGCTACGGAGCATGTGTTCATGGGGTCGAGGAGCCAAGAATCCACAACGAGGACTTGGGACCAACCGAAATGTTCTAGAAGTCTCTGAGCAGAGAGGACCGGGATGTCTAAGATGGCAGCTGTGCCTTGGATAAGATCAGTTTTAATTACCTGAGGGAGTGAAAGATGTGTGGAGAGAGAGAATGAATGTGAAAGAGTAATAGGAGAGAGAGGGAGAGAGAAGAGATAAGATTTATGAGAAAGAAACAAAGGTAAGTATTATATACATGTACATATAGTGTGATTAAAAGAAATCTTAAAAGGGAAAAATGGAGAAAAACAAGCAACTAGTCCAAGAAGAGAAGGAAACTGAAATATTTATACTAGAAAACATATTTAGCCACAGCAAACTCAATGCCAAGTAAAACAAATAAATCAAATTATGGCAGCCTATAACATATCATCATCTAATGTTTCATCTATAAGGGATTGATTCAAATTACATTTTAGTACGCTGAATTCATAATAATAATAATAATAATAATAATAATAATAATAATGATGATGATGTCCTTTTTGTTTGTTTTTTCTCTTTATAATAATAATAATAATAATAATAATAATGATAATAATAATAATAATAATAATATCAATAATCAATTCCTTCATACTTACATATATTTAATTATAATAATTCAATTCTTACCTGTAACTCATCTCTTTCCACCCCCTGATAAGACTCTAGTCTAAGGGTCTCTGGTTTCTGAACAACGAGCGATGATTCCGGAGTAACCGTAAACACCATCTTTGGCTCAATAAGCTTCACAATCTCTCGATGACCACCACTATCAGCGACAGCAAACGGGGTCTGCCCTGCAACATTAGTAATATGAACAACAGCACCGTGATTGAGGAGGACCTGGGAAGTAAGGACAAGCCCAGAACCTGCAGCAAGGTGTAGCGGAGTATTGAGAGCTTTGTCTTGACGACTGAGGTTGAGGAGTTGAGGGCTCAGTGAGAGGTCGGGGCAGATTTTTTCAGGCGAGAGGCAAATGTTAATGACAAATAAAAGCATCTCTGATCTTGTTTGGTCTACTATGGAGTCCGTGCCGTTTGAGGAGCGGCAGATATGGTGCACTACTGTCTGTCCGCGGCTGTCGACTAGGTCGGCTTTACCGCCATTCTTCATAAAGAGTTTCAGCAGCTCGAAAAAGCCTCTTTTAGCTGCTAAGTGAAGCGGTGAGACAGCTCTGTGGAAGCGCCCGTAGGGTTTGTTAGGATCTAGGGATTGTAATTCCTCGGATGATTTGTAGAGTTCAACAGCTTTCCGTTCATTGGACTCCTTAATGGCTTGAAAGAACAGTCTTGAGTGAGTTGTGCCTCCCATGATAATCTTCTAACATAGAAAGGAAGTAATCAGAGAAAAAGGTGGGGCTTTGTTGTGATAATTGCCCACGTGGTGGCACGTGGGTGAAAATGATGGAATGAGAAGGCAAGAAAATGAGATGTTAAAATAGTGAGTGACTTATTTAAAACTTAAATACATGATCTATTAATATTAAATACCTACTAATTGTCTCTTCCACTCCCACAAATTGTTGTGGCTGATGCATATTGATGTCCTTACGCCATGTAATTGATAACAGATGAATTTTTTGTTATAAAAATATTAAATGAAAATTGACAGAGTACAATAACGAATAGACTTCTTACGAAAATAATAGTAATAATAATAATAATAATAATAATAATAATAATAATAATAATAATAAAATAATAATAAAATAATAATTCCATTTTTGTAGTATGGATTCCTCCCCCTTTATACCAATAATTTCATCTCTCTCTTCTAATTCTTTTTGGTCTTATTATAATAATAAATAATAATAATTAAAAAAAATAATAATAATAATAATAATAATAAGAAGAAGAATAATAAGAATAAGCAAAGAGCCGATTATTCAAATCTTTTAAAATTCAGTTTGAGCATTTCTTTCCTCTTTTTTATTTTGTATTAGTGCATCAAATACATTTGTAGCAATTTCTCTTGTTTTGTCCTTCCCAATATAATTAGCAGCCTCATTAGCCAGCCCTCTCTTATACTCCAGCTCTATCATTTCTTTCAATATATCAATCCTTATTTGACAGCCACTTTCACCTCCTTCTGTATATTCTTGTATTGCTCCATCGGTTTCTATTGCTATTCTCTTGTCTTTTGGTTCCTTTGGCTTCTTTCTCTTTTTCATTGTTTCTCTGCAATACTCATCAAGACTCTTTGGCTCTTTTTTGATTGGAATGCAAAACATTATCATGGAGGAGAGGAGAATAAAAATGATGAGGAAATTCTTCGGATCGACTAAATAAAATAGCCATGTCACGCCATAAAGTGCAACTATAGATAGCCCAATATAAAGCATTATGCTACAAACTGGAATGAAACCCATTAAAAAGCAGCTGTAGTATATTCTACATTTTCTTGGTTTCTTTGGAGTAATCTTTACGCATTTCTTAAGTCTATGACCCAAATTAAGTATGACCCATATTTCAAATGAGACTATGATCCATGCAATGGCTAGTGTCCCTGTAGCCTTACCCAAAGCATCTCCTAAATTGATGTTCCATTTAAAGCACTCTATGTCTTCATCGAGGACTGCTGCTTCACTTAGATTCAAGTCAATATATGTATTGTTTATATAATAGAAGCAGTCTGCATCGTCATATGGGCTGTGCCTACCAAATGTGTGCTCAGTAAAAACTGAACCAAATAGCCCCATAGTGATGAAGACCACTGGAAGCATTATAGACCAGAACAATATGCGTATGTCATACTTTGTTAGTATGAAGCCAAATACCACGGTATTGTCATCATTTTCCGATATATAAGGGAACATGATTCGGACCAGCTTACCTGGATTAAGAATACAAGAGCCTGCAACCCCTACAGCAACTGTTGCAATGATTCCTAGAAGAAGTGGTAGAATATATTCAACTATGAAATAAGTATAGTAAGAAGTCATTCTCCTCACTGCTTTCTCTCTCCCTTCTCCTAGCTATTGGAGAGCAATGCGAGGTATTGGGTACTTATATAGTATCTGATACCTTGCATTACTCTCATAATTACTGCATCCTGTTTATCAGTAATAATATTATACTACATTGTTCCAAGGCCATTTGTCATATTCCACACACTCCTTGTATAAATTATAATTTCACATTAAAGTTATATTTGTTCGCATTAGTGATGCGTATCATTGGTATGCTTCCACTTGTTGTAGGGGAATTTGGCTATGCCAACTGTGTGTTTGGGTACAATTTTTTGACTAGTATATCTAATCAAGACAGCATAAGAGCATCAATATGTATTCAAAAAAATGTAAATTAAAATTGAGGGTGGTTTTGGAGCCATTTTTTAGAAAAGCATGGGCTATAACACAGTATACACAATTTGGCATATTTAAGAAAATGATCGTATATAACTTGACAAGTTTTAGTCAGAATCAGCTCAAAATTTCTACATAGCATAAAGATATCAATTATGTATCAGAAAGTGTAATGAAAAATTGAAGGTAATTTGGAGCCATTTTCGGAAAAAAGCATGGGCTATATATAGTACAGGGTATTTTTCAGAATTTGGTATATTTTTTAAAATGGTCATAACTCAAAAAGTTTTAGTCTAAATCACCTCAAACTTCTACATTGTATTGAGGCATCAATATGTATCAGAAAATGTAATAATTTCCTCCTAGTCATTTTTGACAAAATATCCTAGGTCTACTTGTTCAAAAATTAAGACTTTCAAAAGATTAGGACTTTCAGCTTGTAAAGCTGTCCATTATGCTGCTTTGTATATTTTATTTTATAAAACTTTTTCTGTCAAAACCACAGGGATACATCACATTTGTAGCATAGGCGGTGCCTTTGATATGCCCACTCACTATTATACAAATCAGTTTGTTTTTTCTTTTTCCTTTTCTCCCAAAAAAATTGTGAATAATCAAAATTTGACTCAAATGTTTTTAAGGTCATCAAATTAAAAAAACAGTAGCAATAGCTGTTCTAAAATTTGGATGAATACTAATTTCCATTTTATTTATCAAATCCTATTACTTAACCAACACTATTCTATAAATTAATGAGGACATCATAAGCAGTGAACAGGAAGATCAAAAGGTATTTGAGATATTTATTGTCATTGAAACTATGTGAATGTTACAGTACACACATTGCAGTTAGTTTTATCTATATCTGTAAGCATTGTAAGCATTGTTTAACTTGCATTACATTTTTTTCAATATTTTGAAAGGAAGTAATCAGAGAAAAAGGTGTGGCTTTCTTATGATCATTGTTCATGGTAGCATGTGGGTGAAAATGAGGGAATGAGATATTAAAATAGTGAGTGACTTATTTAAAACTTAAGTACATGATCTATTAATATTTAATACCTACTAATTGCCTCTTCCAATTCCACAAATTCTTGTGGCTGATACATGTAACTGATACTTAAATGGCATTTAATTTTTTTGTTACAAAAATATTAAATGAAAACTGACACAGTGCAATAACAAATAGACTTCTTTTGAAACAAAGAGCAAATTATTTAGAAGTTTTAAAATTCAGTTTGAACATTTCTTTCCTCTTTTTTATTTTGTATTAGTGCATCAAATACATTGTAGCAA